AAGAAATTCAACTACTGTTATTGTAACTGCCATTGACAAAGAGGACGACAAATGCATGATGCTTGCTACAATCGCAGGTAGTGATGATTCTAATGGTAAGGCTTTAATAAGCACATCTACCATTCTGAATAATGCATGGATAATTGACTTTGCATGTTCTGATCATGTGACTTTTGATGTTAGACAAATTTAAAATTTTAAACCTTCCTCACAAAAAAAGTATATCCACAGCCAATGGTAGTAAATCCACTATTATTGGAGAAGGAACTGTCTCTATTTCAAACAATTTGAATCTTGATACCGTCCTTGTTGTTCCTTCTCTTAAATATAACCTATTGTCAGTCTCGCAAATAACCAAAGCTCTTTTATGTGTTGTAATTTTTTGGTCTGACTCTTGTGTTTTTAAGGATATTCAAACGAGGAAGACGATTTGTTGTGGTATTAGGCGAGGAAGGTTGTATTACCTGGACCTGACAGAAAAAGATTCAAAGAGACTTGGTCAAGTGCTAGCAACAAAAGAGCCTCAAGAAGTAAGGAAAGACGATGATATCTGGTTATGACATAAACGTCTAGGAAATGCATCTTTTGGTTACATAAAGAAATTATTTCCAAATGTATTTGACCAAGTAGACACTTCAACTTTTTATTGTGAGCTTGCAAAGAGTCATAGAACACATTTTCCTTTAATTTTAAATAAAAGTTCTCTTCCTTTTATGATCATTCACTCTGATATATGGGGTCCATCTAAGGTTACAACGTTAGGTGGCTCAACGTGGTTTGTAACGTTTATTGATGATTGTACTTGAATGACTTGGTTATGTTTGATGAAGTCTAAAAGTGAAGTTGGAGGACTATTTCAGAAATTCGGCAAAATGATTGAGACCCAGTACAAAGCACAAATTCAGGTACTGCACAGTGACAACGGAGAAGAATATATGCAATTAGAACTTCAACATTTTTTAGTAGCGAAAGGAATTGTTCATCAAAGATCTTGTCCAAATACTCCACAACAGAATGGGGTGGCAGAACGAAAGAACCGTCATCTATTGTAAGTGGTCCGAGCTGCACTAATTGGAGCTCACATGCCAACAATATATTGGGGAGAAGCTTTCACATATGTAGTATACACTATCAACCGAACACCGTCCAGGTCTCTTGAGTATAAAACACCTCTTCAATCACTTACAGATACAGTAGTAAGTCATAAAATTGCTGAACTAACACAGAGTTTTTGGTTGTGTTGCTTACGTTCACTTACACAAGCATTAGAGAAGTAAGTTGTCTCCTAGAGCTGAAAGGTGTGTGTTTCTTGGCTATGCGGATCACCAAAAAGGATATAGGCGCTACAATCCACAAACCAAGTAAATGTTTACTACTATAGATGTAGTTTTTCATGAAACCTTGATATATTTTTTCCCCGAGTCTGAAATTCAGGGGGAGAATTATGATGAAGTTCATACTTTTGTTCCTCAAGAAATTGATATTGAGATCAGATTGGAGAAAGAAAGTTACAAAGTTGTATCAAGAGATGATGAAAGTATGCAACAATGTTATGATCAACAACCACATAATGAGGAAGATTTTGAGCATGTTGAGATTGAAAATTTGCCTGTTGATGCTAATGATATACCACACCAATCGTCCCTTCAAGAACCTAATACAGAAAAAAGAATTATGCCAGATCATGTCACTAGAGGTATCCCTAAGCCTACTTATGATCCTAACCTCACCAGTAAGACAAGATACCCTATGAGTAATTATGTTTGTAACCAGAATTTGTCTAACTCAAATATCGCATTTATAAGTCAATTATATACTATATCTATTCCTAACAGTGTGTAGGAAGCTTTAGCTGACTCCAGGTGGAAGGATGCTATGAATGAGGAGATGAGATCCTTGCAAAGAAATAAAACATGGGAATTAGTAGATTTTCCAGTTGGAAAGAAACCAGTAGGATGTCGATGGGTGTATACTGTGAAATTTAATGCAGATGGCACAATTGAGAGATTCAAAGCTAGATTAGTGGCAAAGGGGTACACACAAGCATATGGAATAGATTACACTGAAACGTTTGCTCCCGTAGCCAAAATTAGTACAGTTCAAGTATTGTTATCTCTAGTTGTAAACCTTGATTGGTCCTTACAACAGTTTGACGTAAAAAATGTCTTCTTACACGGGGAATTGTCTGAAGAACTTTATATGGAGCTACCAGAAGGATGTGGGATCCCGAATACACATAGCAAGAAGGTATGCAAGTTGAAGAAGTCATTGTATGGACTAAAACAATCGCCACGAGCATGGTTTGGCAAATTCACCAAGTCAATGCTTGCTTTTGGATACCAACAGAGCAACCAAGATCATACCTTGTTTCTGAAAAAAAAGGAAGAAAATATTACAATTCTTATTGTCTATGTTGATGACATGATAGTTACGGGAAACGATCTAAAGGAACGCAAGACATTGAAAGAGTACTTGACAAAGGAATTCGAGATGAAGGATCTTGGTCCTTTGAAATATTTTCTTGGAATTGAGGTCTCAAGATCAAAGTCAGGTATTTTTCTCTCACAACGAAAGTATGCATTGGATTTACTAAAAGAAACTGGAATGACAGCATGCAAACCAACAAATTCTCCAATTGAAGAGGGATTGAAGTTGTGCATTGAAGAAAATCAAACTCCAACTAACAAGGGAAGATATCAGAGACTTGTAGGGAGATTGATGTATCTCTCACACACTAGGCAATATTTAACTTATGCTCTTAGAGTGGTTAGCCAGTTCATGCACAATCTAGGTGAAAAACACATGGATGTTGTTATATGGATTTTAAGGTATATAAAAGCTGCTCCTGGAAAAGGAGTTATGTTCAAGAAGAACTCCAACTACAAGGATGTGATGGTTTATACTGATGCAGATTGGACAGGTGCTCTTGATGATAGAAGATCAACCTCTGGATACTTTACATTTGTAGGAGGTAATCTTGTCACATGGAAAAGTAAGAAGCAGAAAGTTGTAGCTAGATCTAGTGCAGAAGTTGAACTTAGAGGAATGGTTCTTGGACTTTGTGAAGGTTTGTGGCTCAGACTACTTCTCCAAGATTTAGGGTATGCACATACACGTCTCATTCAGTTGTATTGTGAGAATAAAGCTGCGCGCGACATTGCTCACAACCCTATCCAACATGATCGAATGAAGCATGTGGAGGTTGATAGATTTTTCATCAAGAAAAAACTTGATAAAAATATTTTGGAATTGCCAAATATTCGATTTGAAGATCAGTTGACAAACATTTTTACCAAAGCTGTGACAAATCAGATTTTTAGGAGATTATTGGACAAGTTGGGAATGTATGACATCCATTTGCCAACTTGAGGGGGAGTGTTGGGATAAAGATATTTGATTAGCTAAATTATAGGTTTGTATAGAGGTACAAAATATTGTATAATCAGAACTTCCTATATTTAGTCCTGATTTGTTAGAATAAAATACTATAAGATCATAGTATATGTGTACAAAAATAATATGAATAAAAATTATAGAATGATTTCTATATTTTTCAATTGATTAATATTCAAAGGAAATTAAGATGATTTTTTTTTTTGACAAAGATAAATATAAGTTTCTTAGGATCTTAAAGGAAGTGAGATTTTAATTATAAACAAGCAAACTAATAAAGCGACAAAAGAAGTGTTTAAATAAATAATAAAAAGGATTATTAATCAGTATTTGATTGGTTGAAAACAACTCATTATAAACAAACCTAATTAACACCATATATAGATTTGTGCATTTGCATATTAAATTCTCTCTTAAATGTGTATTCTTGATGTAAAAATTCCCATTAAGAAAAATATTGTTGATACTTAATTAGAGATAAGTGACAACAATAAGTGGTAGCGAAATCAATACTAACTTGCTATATGTAGCTTGAAGATACTAATTTGACTTTGAGTTTATCTATTAAACCATGAGGCCTGATTTTATTATAGCTTCAAGTTCTTCTTGCATAATTAATTGACATTTTGGATACTTGGTTACTTTGATGATGAAAAACGTTATGTAGTATTTAAGATTTAAAGAATGAAATTCTTATAGATATAGATGAAACTGATCACATGAGAAGAAATTATTGATGTCCATAGCATATATGTAACATGCTAATATAAGAAAAGAAAAAAATAGTTCAACCAACAAATTTTTAAATATTTTTCACCTATTAAATTAAATGAAATGCCATTGAATACTATCTTTTTGCATAAATATTTATTCTACTATTTTAAAATCCGATTAATATTATTATTAATAAAAAAATTAATATTTACTCACAAATTCCTCTCATGAATCATACACAATAGTAATATTTTATATATTTTTAATTGATATCTTTATTTCATAAAGAAATAAAAAAAATAGATTGAATAATAAAATTATAGATAATGTCTTTTTGTATTAGATTTGATTTCTATGCTTTAAAAAAAAACTCACTTCAATAATATATACTACACAAGTGGTTTATGTTTGGAATACTTGATGCATAAATTTGAGACTCTTCTCTAAAAGGAAAAAAATGTTCAGAATGATTTTTTAAAAAGTTATAAGTAATAAAAATACATCATCAAAAAATTAAAATGCAAGGAAAAGGAAATTTTTCAGTAGCAGTATATTTTGAGGAACTGAATGTACAGATAGTAGGGCAATGTAGTGCGAAGGTTCTTCCTGATGTTATGAATTATTTTTTATTTATTTTTTGATAAAATGGATGTGCCAGAAAATATAATGCATGCATGAGAACTGAAACCAACATACATAACACGATAACAAAAAGAAACAACTTAGAAAGAAATAAAGGAGCTAACTCAGTCTCTAAAACATGAAACATTTCTGCAAAAAGGTCGCCAAAGAGTGTTGTGTGCTACCAAACCTACCAGAAATATGACTGAAAATATTTCATAACTTATGTTTCTTACATGGTGCAAGGGCTTAAACTTGCAGAGCATGAATCATCACAAGACAGTACTCATGATTCTTCTGAGTTCACTGGCAAGTCCCTGCAACAAAACTGGCTTTCTTATGACTCCATTCATGCCAACTTGCTTGCATTTTTCCGAAAAATCTCCCGTGCTTGCAGTCAAGGCAATAATCACTGGCCAGTTTTGGCTTCCAAACTTGCGAATCCTGGATGCAACTTCGAATCCATCAAGCTCAGGCATGTGAAGCTCCAAGATAATGACCTGAAAGGAGCATCCACCAAGTTGAATGGCACTGAGGCATTCATATCCTGAAGAAACAGAAGTCACAATGCAACCTAGTTTCTGAAGCAACCACTGAGTCACTGCTCTATTTACATTGTCGTTCTCGACCAACAAGACTTGAAGTCCTCTGAAGGAAGGTTCGGAACTTGATGGCTCATAAATTTCCCCAGTTTCAGATATGGATACCGCCATCGATCGCTGCAGTTGAAACCGAAGAGAAAGGTGTATGACTCGAGGATGATCTTCAGCATTTGGTACAAACCATATGTTCCCTTGCATCGACTGCCAGAATAATATTGCACAGAAGCAAAGCACAAAATCCATAGAAAAAAATTAGAAAACAAGAAACTATTACTGTAACGGAATCACAGTTCCAACTATATATACATATATCATAGGTAAATTAGATGGTGAATAAACTAGTACTATAACAGCTCCAACTATACATGGAAACTAACAAAGTATACTAATCAATGGCTTTTAAATGACCACCTTGAATTTTTTTTTTTTTTCTGAAATAACAGTAAATATCCTTCCAGTAGATATACTCAAATATGATTAACCACATAAGCTAACAAAATTTATGAAGAAAACCTATCTAGATTCAAGATTATTACGTCTAGCAATGGAAATGCACAATGTTTAAAAGTTTAAATGAAGGTAAGGAAACATACAATAAAAAAACAGGTGTAATGTGTGAAGTATAATGGTTGAATGCCAATTAAAAACAATATCATGATGAACTTATTATTCACATCAAATCAACGTCACTAAACTCACCTGGATTATCCTCTTGCAAATGCTGAAGCTCAATCTTTCCTCAACCCTATCACGAGCACGCACAGAACCCGGAGGCTTACCTGTAGGAACTGAATTCTCCAATTCAGAAGCACCATTCTTCATCCCTATCTCAAATCTGATATTTACATCCCCACTTGAAGAGCTTGGTGTCCAGTTTGAGCATCCCTGATCATTCCTTCCTAGACTTCCACCTTCTGCATAAACTCGGAACACAAGAGTCCCTCCTCCTTGGTTACCATTTATTGCACTCCCAATCATATGCATAAGCACTTGGGAGACCCTCTTTTCATCACCAATAACATTGTCTGGCAAAGACTTATCAGCATCAACAACAAAGCCAAGGCACCTATAAACACACATAAATCTGGCAAGGCAAGCTGTCTCCCGCACCAAAGCATGCAATCCAAAAGGCTTCATCTCCAAAGGGAATCTTCCATCGTCCCTTGCTGAGTCCATGGCATCATTTAGTAGATTTGACAAGACACTACTGGTCCTTAACAAAGAATCCACAATGAGTTTCTGTTCACTCTTTAACTTGTCTTCTTTCATCACTGAAAGCAGCCCCAAAATTGAGTGCATAGGCTTTCCCATTCCATTGCTCATGATCTTCTGAAATGCTTCTCTAGCCTGGTTCGCCCTCATAGTATTCATCTTTTCCACTTGCAATGCTCGATTTTGTTCCTCCAACTTCACCCTCGTCAGAAGAGACTCTTCAAGAATTGCAGCATGAGACAGAGCCACAGCCACCTGATCAGCAACCCCCTTAATGATCTCCAGCTCTTGAGCGCTCCATGATTTATGTTCGGTGACAGGAAGAATCAAAACCAATATGGCATAACATGTCTCCCTTATCTCCGGGGTTCCCCCGCTGAAGTTGCTAACCCGAAGCATGGGCATTCGAATAGCAGCAACTGGTCCTGCACTACCAGAATCTCCACTACTTGCAGTGACAAGTACTGAATCAGAATCAATTATGTTTACTTCATCACTCTCCTTAATTCTCACAACATCTGGATTAGTGATGGGAATAGAACAGTTGACATTTCTCCCATTCAATTCATGAGTAAGGTTCATCTCAGGTTTCTCATCGTTTGGCATCCAAACTGCACAGGTTTTCAAACCAAGCGTCTTAGACAGCTCAAGCAAGGTGGTGTACAGAATATTGTGCCTATCCAACGACTTTCGAATCTCTTGTGTAATCATTCTTACATGCTTTGAAGCCTCCGTCTGTTGCATTATGAATCCAACCTCCCTCCCAAGTTCCGAGGTCTTTTTCTTCAGCATGAATTCCCTAATCTTCACTTTCAACAGCAGAGGGATCAGAGTGAGGAAGGCTAGGCTAGTGGCACATGACACCAAGGCAGTGAAAATTTTGAAGACAGTGATTGTCAGCATGAATTCAAAAGAGTGGGGACCAGAACTCATCCCTGTCAGCAAATGTGTCGCTCCACAAAGTGCAATGAAAAAAATGAACAGAAAGATGACCCATTTGAATCGGAAGTTTGAGCGACAAAGAAAGTAAATAATCTCAATAGGGATGGAGAGGTAAGCCACAGCAATCATAATATCACTAACCCTTTGGCACTCCAGAACTTTCCCAATAGTCCACATGCTAGACTCGTCCTCACAGTTGCATCTTCTATGCCCATTATCTTTTGCACACACACATGCAATCAGTAGAAAGCAAGTTAACAACAGTCCAAATGACACAGCCTTTGACATTATCCCAATGTGTAGCTTCTTCAATTCATCCAATGACTAAGGAACTCAGAAAAAACAAGAAAAAGATCTCCACAACCTCCAACTCCCAAGGTTGCTTCTTCAACTATAGTCTCCTCCTGTCATTACACAGTTAAAATTAAAATAAAAAATAAAAAATTACAGTCTTGGTAAGATCTCAACAACAAAAAAGACTACAAAATACAAAAAGACAAACAGATAGAGAGAAGGAAAAAAGGGTGGGAAACCCATAAATCCTTTTTGTTTTAACCTTTTCTCCATCCGCACACCCTTTGAGTGGAATAGCATGAATCAGTGAACAACACTGGTAAATATGAGATTTTTATCTAACAAATTATATATTTATATATAAATAAATGAATAATAATAATAATAATAATAATAATAATAATAATAAAAGGCCAAGACAAAAACTCCCTCCCTAAACACATACACAAAAATCAATATAAATATGAAACTGGTCTAACTATAGTTTGCTGCTTAAAAATAAATAAACAGAAAGATACAGTAATACAGACCAAACTTTAAAAAAAAAATAAAGTGCCTGCAAAAATGCAAAACAAAAAGCTGCAGTTATTTAAAATAAATAAAACTGAGATTGCAATCATGCATGTAATCCAATCTTGATTATATCTTAATTATTATCTTATCCCTACCCCGGATACACCAAAACCTGATTAAAAACACATAACAATAACCACTAACTCCAATATCAGAGTGTTTGAGAATTCTTTGAGAACAAAGCAGTAGAATCAAGAGAGACAAAAATATACTCACAATCACATTCGACTTATATCAAATCGTTTAGAAGAGGTTAAATAATTTACTTCAAAAAAAAAAAAACTTGTCAGGCCCCAATTTTTTCTCTAAGCATTGATTAAACAGATGCAACCCTTTAATCATTTGCATGCAACTAATCCCAACACTGAAAAAAAAAATCTTGTTAACTGTGCACAAATTCAGCTACCTTGTGCCTTGTAGTCCGGTGAGTGGGAGTGTGTTATAGTGTGTGACAAGGGAAAAGTAGTAGGAATTAGAAAAGAGCATAAGAGACACTCAGATAGAGAAAAATGATGCAAGTGATGTTCTTGTACTTGCTGTGGATGTTAAGGTACTGCTTCTAGGAGAGAACATAGAGAGAGAAGAAAGTGTGTGTGAGAATTGTGAGAAGGGCAATGTGATTTTGTTTGAAGGAATGAAAGGCAAACCACAGACCATAACAGGAAAATTATAGAGCGCCTGTTGTTTAGTAGGAAAGAGAGAGAGGGTCCAAGATTCTTACATGAAGAGAACTTTGTGGGACTTTTGAACTAAAATGTCTTGTCAGTCTCAAAAAGATTTGAATGTTTTGTTCTCTACTTCGCTCACGGGAACAAGAATACCATTTCTTTATGTGTACTCCATTTGCTTTCTTAGTTAATATAAAGAGAAAATAGGAAAACATTTTCCATGATATATCATGTCCCTTCTCTTGTAAGGTACAGTGTGCATTTTAGAATATTTATTTTTTTAATTAATTATTCATTCAATTAATTAATTAATTTGTAAATAAATATTTAATTTTTTTAAAAGTTATTATTAATTAATTTTAAAATAATAAGTAATTACTTTTTAAAACAATTTAATTAGTAGTTACTTTTTGAAATAATAGATTAATTATTTTTGAATAATTAATCATATAATATTAAATAATTAATTAACTGATTAATTTCTTACTATATTATTCATGTAAAATATATGATAATATATTGATGATAAATTTTATAAAAAAATTATTAATTACTTTTTTTTTAAGTTTCTCATTCCTAATTATTTTTTTCATACTGTTTAAATTTGAATCCTTAATTAATTATTCAATTTTATTATATTATTTTAATTAATTATTATGATAATATTTTAGAAAATAATAAAAAATATAATGATTATTTTAATTTAATTAAAAATTAAGATAAAACACCAAAACATGTAAAGGAAAGTATGTCATTTATTTTTTTAATAAAGAATAACAGTAATCTCTACTAATATATATATATATATATATATATATATATATATATATATATATATTAGATAAATATTTCACATTTTATTTTCTTTAACCGTAACTAACATAAGAAAAAAATTAATGCAATTGAATTCAAACTTATGTCTCTATCTATTTAATATATATAATAAATTAAGATTCTGAAATTATTTAATGATATTGTTGTATAATAAATGCTTTTAAATTATATAAAATAATACATTAGTATGTAGACAATAAATATTTATTTTATATAACTAAAGCTGAAATAAATAAATATTTTTCAATATATAATTAATATTTTTGATGAATAAATAATTTAAATGTATATCTAAATTTATAATATATTATAAAATTTATAATAATGCAGGTGAAAGTTAATGTAATTGATTTCATGTCCATTGCTTATTTATTTACAAGATATAATAAATATATATTTTTAATGTATTTAATGATATTTTTAAAATAAATATTTTAAATATATAAAATTTATTATAACTAATATTTATGATAAATAATTTTAAAAAGATAAAATATATTATAAATTATAATAAATCATTTATATTTATATATACACTATTAAAAAAAATAATGTTTTTATATTTTTTTTAACAAAGAGTTTTTAAATTAAGTTTTTAATTAGACAAAGAAAGTATGACTATTGATTTCCATTATAAATGACTAAATATTCTTAATTAACAATTTATTTAATGCTGAAATAAGATCTAAAGTTTACATAAAATACAAATGTTTACATATTTTTATTTTATTTCATATAATCTATAGAAGTTCACAGCAATGCAAAGTTTTAATAGTGATAACTTAATGTTAATGTAATTAAATTTATGTATATTTCAAATCTATTTACTAGATAAAATTAATTTATATTTTAAATATATTTAATGAATATAATAAACATTCTTTTATATTATTAAAATTTATAAATAAATATTTTTTTAAAATAAAAATTATATTGTAATTATTTTTGTGGTAATAAATATTTTAAATATATAAATATATTTTAAATTTAATAAATATGTTATATATAATTTATAGTAATATAGGAAAAGGAAAGTACATGGATATGTTGGAATCTATTTTATAAATATAAGAAAATATTGAATTTTCTTAATATTTTAAAAATATAACTAATAAAATAATTAGATATTATTATTATTATTTAATAAATTTAGTTGAATTGACTTATGTATCGGGTTAGATATATAAAATTAATAGAAAATCGAAGAAAGACTTAATTTTAATAGTCTAATTTTAAAAACATGTTTAATAAAGAATGAATTTTTTTAGTGAAATTAAAATGGTTATAAGTAGAAAAAGTTAACTATTTTATCCTTATTTTATAGAATTTTTTTTTAATTTAACCTCTTATTTCTCTTTAAGAATTTGATTTCAATATTTTGATTCTTGTTGTAAAGAGTTTATTAAAATTTTAAATAGAGTAAATTATTTTTTAATATTTTTTTCACATTTTGCATGCATGAAGATCTCTAAAGAAAAACTATAGTCATATAATTTACACATTAAAGAAGTTATACTCAACCTCTTATCATTACTTAGAAATAGTAGTTTGTTTATTGGATTTCCAACCAATCAATGATGTGTCTTAAAAAACACAAAAACCTGATATCAAGCGCCAAGTAGTGGAATGGGTTACCCAGTCAAAATTAGAATAAACATGAATTTTGAGAGAAATATTAGAAGAATATAAGATACCAGAACTATGAGCATTCTTCAAATATTTAATAACCTCATGGCCTCTTGCAGAGGTTCTCTAGGGCAAGAAACAAATTGACTAAGTTGCTGAATGACAAAAATGATATCAGAACTAATATTTGTCAAATACAGTAATCTTTTAATAAGGCGTTGATATTCAGAGGGATCAGAAAGAACATTTTCTTCATCTACATGAAGCTTAATAAAAAGATCAATAGGAGTAGCAGATGGTTAGCAGCCAAGCGTACCTACTTCTAAAATAAGTTTTAGACAATATTTCCTCTGGTTTAAAATCAATCCTATTTTAGATCTAGCAACTTCAAAATCCAAGAACTTCAAAGGACTAAGATCTTTAATATAGAATAAGGTATGAAGATGATTCTTAACAGAATTAATTTCTGAGATATTATTATCTGCAAGAACAATATCATCAACATAGACCAATAGAATGTTAATCACAAAATTAGATGTCTTGACAAAAAGAGAATGGTCAGCAGAACTCTGCTTATAACCGAAAAGAGAAGTTCAGAAGTTAGCTTTTGATTCCAATTTCTAGTTTGTTTCAAGCCATACAATGAAATATGAAGCTTGCAAATAAGTTTTGGATGAGAAAGAGAAAAACCTGGAAGAGACTTAGTATAGATTTCCTCGTGTAAATCACATGGAGAAAGACATTATTAACATTCAATTGGTGTAAAATCCAATTATTTGCACTAGCTAAAACTAAAAGGAGACAAATAGCGATTAGTTTTAGAAGGAATAAGAAAGTTTCAAAATAGTCAACACCTTCATAATCGGATAAAATAAACTGTTTGAATATATAAAAAATAAAAAAAAACGAATGAAAAATAAAAATTAACAAACAATTGAGAAAAAATAGAAGAAGATATTAACCAACTATATCTCAATCATTATGAATTATTTGTTTAATTAATAATTTTTATTTAATGATTACTATGAAGAATGATATATGTTGATAGAAAATTTGTAAAGATAATTTAAAATTGATATAAGTTTTTTTACTGATGTAAGAACACCTATGAGTCATGCATTAGAATAGGTACGGTGACTCTTTAAAGTTTTTTAATTAATTATAGTTTCTTATCAGATAATTAAAATATTCTTAAAATAATATCATTCATATTATGATGAATTAGTTTAGGTAAATTTTATTCTCATATAAGACAAGAGTGTCGTTAAATTGGATAAGTGTTAGAAACTTTCTAATATATAAACCCTCAAAAAGGGAAGAGTACAGAGCATACTTCTTTTATCTAACTGGGGATATATAATATTAATTATATATTTCAGGATGAAAACATATTTATACAAAATTTGATATTCATATTTTATATTCCTCTTATTGTCTTATGTAATCATAAAAAGGATTATGTTATAGATTATACCCTCTTATCTATTAATACACCTCAGACTAGTATAAATTACACCTTATCACCTTTCACACTTAACTTCTTATATACTACAAATTACATTCTTATTTGATTGGTTCAATTCACATTTTTATGGATTATATCTTATCATCTTTTAAATACTTTCCTAAATTTGGATGATAATAAGGAAATATTTATCTGTGTATCATCATTTTTATCATTAATTTTGTAGTATAATCATAAGTTAATTTTTTACTTCTATTTTATTACATAAAACTCACTTGTACATTTGAATAACATAGATTGTTGAAGATTGATGTTAATTAGATCACGTTGTTAAGAAAATAATAATTGGGATGAATTTGTATGGGATGAAGAGAATAAGCTAGATGATAATTATTAATTTCGTAAGATCACACCTAATTAAAGTTTATAACTTTCATCCAATAAATTTCTATCTCAAAAATATTTCATTTCTCTTCACTATAATTATTCATTGAATTTTAAAAATAATTCACTAATTATTAATTGGATTTTAAAAACAAGATAGTGAATTATGATCATTATCGTTAGATTCATAAATAATTTATTTGTACTTTTTTTTAAATCCAAAAAAATAACTCTTTTTTTCACCAAGATAATGAAAAATATATTTTATTTATTTATTATTTTATGATACATTCTCTCATTTTATATATATATATATATATATATTTCTATTAATTTTAAAATAAATAAATTATAATAATTTTTTTATATTATCTCTTTCCACTTAATTATTATAAAAACAATAATTTTTTTACATATATTTGATAAAAAAATATTGAATTATTAGTTATGATGCCAAAATCTATAAATCCTTTGTGATATTAAAATTACAAGAAACGAGAATAATTATAGGATCGAAGTTGGTTGGATCTTTACGCTTCCATTCACTTTAATAATGTACTGTTTTTTAATGAAGTACCACAAAGGTCAACCCCATCATTTGCATGCGCATTCAAGAGAAAGAGTGTGTATGTACATCCCATGATAATAAAATATTAAAAAAAATGAATAAATATTATTAGTTAATAAAGTAAAAAATCCTTCCCCATCCACCGTACCAATTTGCCAAAAGCTCCTTGTATTTGTTTTGTTTGTGAGTGACAGACATGTTTGTCACATAAATGGAACAATGAAGAGAGAAAAATGTTATTATTGGAAACAGTGAGAGAATTGAATTGTGCATTTATGAATCTGCCCTCCAATGCTCGTAAAAGTAGAAAAGACAGTGTGTCAGACCACCCAATACAAATTAATATCTATTAAAGTGTTTTGTGTGCTGTGTCTGTACTCATGCATCCCAATGTTTCATAATCACTCAACATGTTCCTTTCGTCATAACTTACTCATTGAAAATATCAACATTTCTTTCTTTAACTTATTTATATATCTTTTAACATAAATTTGTCATCAATTCAATTTTAAAATAAATTATATATCAGATCTGATGACTAACATCAATAATATAATCTTAAAACTTTAATTTTACGATAAATATATTTTAAATGTGAAGATGTTACTCTAACATAAATAGAAATCAATTAAGAAATAAGTAGTGTATATCTATCATTTATAAAATTTAACCAACACCTTAATTTTATATTATTATTCAATTATATTATAATAGAAGTGATAAACAAAATAATGTTAATTGATTAACTGTCTTATTCATTTTTTAAAGGCGTATGTATAAATGGATTATCATTTTTTTTAATGAATTTCTTATTTTTTTCAATGTTCTATGCTAATTTTATAGATAAACCATGACATAAAAAAACTATTTACACTATATTTTTAAACCAATTCATATTGTGTTTTTAACATTATCTATAGTTTATCTAACACAGCAATCACTACTTAAAATTAACTTCGAGAGGGAGAGAAAAACAAGGAAGGACAACAATTTTGATAAATTAATGAAAGAAATTTATATTTTAAAAAATAATTCATTTTCCGTGCAAATCAGTTCAATTCCATGTATAAATATGTTAAGTTAGAATAAGTATAATTAAATCTTATATATATATATATATATATATATATATATATATTAATGTAATTGTCTTATTTATGTCTGTGACCCTTGAAAGGTATTTTGTGCACAACTTTAAAAATTTCTGTTGTCAAATTTGAGGTAAATCAATGAAATTTTGAGGAATATATAAATAAAAAAACTCATAAATTTGTAGTCTTAAATTTTAAAT